GTACGAATAACACGCGAGTGCAATTTGTTTGGGTCACACATTAACGCACGCCTGAACAGTTTGGAATAATTACGTGAAAGTAACCTGCGTGTCGACCGAGTGTAAAGAGGCTATTGAAGTGACTGAGAGAAGGGGATGAGAGCGCTAACATTTGAAACACAGTGTTGTTGCTATAGGATTATAATATTCACCACCAGTACCCGAATAGTGCGGCGAAGATGCTTGCAGTGACAGCGTTAAATATCACTGGTCGCTTCAAAGTGGCGGACTTCGTGTATTCATGGGCCGTGTGAAACGAAGTGGCAGGTCATCTCTGGCCCACGGACCGTAGGTTCCCACCACACCTGGTCGATCGGGGTTGGCCGTGACTGGATAGAGGTGGGATGGGTCGAGGAGCCGGGAGTGCAGAGGCGGAGCCAGGATTTTCAGGTAGGGGGGGGCCACCCCTCCAGCAATGAAAAATGGTAGAGGAGTTGTTAGTAAGTAAGGACTTGTCCCCGGGCGCTTCTGCAGCCATCAATCGAGGGTCGAATTCGAACCGTCTGTGATCGTCATCGCGCTCGCTGAAGGTGTTTTCCTTCAGGGAAGTCGCCTACTGTATAAGCAACTGCGCACAATTCTGAGTCACTTATAACTGCTTTGCCGTCATTTATTGCCAAATTATGGACTCAGACTATTGTCCTATCATCTCATAGAGTCCCTAGCACGTAATAATATGCTACACAGTGGCAGTGGGGGTCGCAAAATGCCGATGTATTACTATTAAACCCCAATGATTTGATCGAAATTAGGGATTTCGATCGGATCATTGGGGGGGCATGTGCCCCCCCCCCCTGGCTCCGCCACTGCGGGAGTATACGCAGAGTTTTAAGGCCCGGGAGACGGGGTTCATTGATGGACGTGAAGCTTAGCGTTAGTCAAGAAGCAATTCTTCACCCCCGAATGATTCCATGAATCGTCACGATTTGGGGTCATCAATTGATTTATCAGAGTGAATATATTTACTGTGCACACCATTCTTATAGCGCAATGTTACATCCATCTATAAATGCGATGTGTTTACAAACGGGCATCATCTATCAATACAGGGTGATAGTTCCGATATCTGATGGGGTTTCTAGACAACTGACTTGTCTTTGTCGAGACAATATACATATCGTATATATATAAGCTTCCATGAGAGTAATATACATTTTACTTCGAAGATATATTTTTGAGGAAATATCGACCTTTCCTGGTACGCCAGCTTGTGCAGCCAAGGTGTAACGATGCATCGGTTCATCTATTTACATCGATTATCTGAGCTCTCGATACACCAACGAGGTCCCTGCGATCTTTGGATCGCCTTTTTCGTACTTCGAGGTCAAGGCTCATTTCCTGTAGGGGCTATCGGGCGATTGCGAGTGCACTTCTCAAGATTTGTACCGCTTTGCCTTTGCTAATTAAAACAGTCAGAATCGTTAGATATATTTACGTCTGTCTTGAATACTCACCTCTTTAAACTGGCCTATATCCTATAGTTCCTGGCCCTTCACCCTGCAGATTCTGCTTATTTCCTTATTTCTATAAATGGTGGCGCATTGGGATCTGCGGATGAAATGCGCCTTGCAAATGTAAATTATTATTTGTGTGCATACGAATTGGTGTTGGTCTTTAGACTATTGGAGTGAACAAAGCTTGAGAAGTAATACAAATGAGCCAGTAAAAAAAAAAACCAGGGAATGATCGATTTCTGGGTCGATTGCTGACCTCGAATCAGGAATCTTTATGCCTCGATAATGGAAGTGTAACTTGCGATTATTAAAACGTTTAGTGTAGTAAATTAAATTGTCTTCTCTGTTGCCTGCGTTTGCATCGCTTGTGTTGAGTGTGTTTATTTTTGTAATGCCTCGATTTGTGATTAACACAGCTCAGCCAATTTCACAACTGTGTTAATGAAAATACTGTACAATTACCACGCGCCCATTAAAGCTATCGATTTTCTGGGAGGATCAATGAGGAAACGTGGTGAGCTGTCTGCTCCTCCCTCCATCAGCCCTACCCACTTTTTGCATAGCCACGCCCACACGATCGCTAGCACCGCCCACAGAGCGAGCGGATTGGCCCTGCCTACTCCACTTCCAACCCTGGCCACTACCCGGATAGCCCCGCCCACTACCGGGGTAGCTCCGCCCCTTTCTATCGAGTCCCGAGCATGAAGTCGAAAAATGTGAAGAATAGAAATCGATTCTCACTCATGTTTCGTGGGGAAGAGGGGGACAGCATTTCTAAAACCGGTAAAGTTCCCGCCAAGCGAGCAAGTGTTGTCTCGAACTTTACGGTTGTGAAGGCTGAGAGACAGTATCCTCAAATGAATCATCTAACAATGGATCAATTTATGGCTTAATATTTTTTCTAGGAGCATAGACCACACAAATTCCAGTAATCCTCGCAGCAGATTTTGGCTCACAATGATTGTCACTGCATCGCGTGCTTTCAGACGCGCTTCTGCGGCCGTCTGGAACGCTATTTCTTCCGATATTATGAAGCCACTGGAGCTATGTACTTTAAAATCATCTAGATTGAGAACTGTTTTTTTAGATCTGCAGTTTGTGTTTCGTTTGCTGTCCTTCCCCTGCACCTCCGATTAGCATGGGTGGCTATGTACGGTGCGAAAGAAGTTCAACATACATGCCTATCAATTCTTCAGGTTTACGATTCCAACTAAGAATTCCAACTCATATGCTGTGTAAAGGGGGAGCAGTGGCGCAGTTGTTAGCTCATTACCCCTACCCCAGAATGGTCAAAACACATTCCACGGCTGCCGCCACTTGGGGGCAGGGGCGAGTGTAGCTCATTACATATCCGGCAGATTCGTGTGGTTTTGTGAATAGCGTTACATATTTTTTTATTATTAATTAGATGTTTTTGTATGTGCTCGAGATTGAAATGTCTACTCGATACTGTACCAATTAGGAAGCCAGGGAGCATCCATTTGACTTGATGCCTTTTACATTTGTAAATAACAAGTCGGAGTAGATATACATCTGGTTTTACGGTTGTATACAGGTATCCCTCGATTTCCAAACGATCGGTTTACGAAATTTCACGTTAACCCAATTGACAAATTATGGACACCTTTCCATGAACGAATTCGAATTTCCGCGTGAACGAAATTTCACTACGGTGGGCGCCGTGACATCATCGAGCAAGAGGCCACGGGGAGGCTGCGGCATTCGTCCACGACAGCGTCACGGTGTCTCTACAGTCAACAGCAGTTAACGCCTCCTCAGAATCTATCCAGTCATTGCAAAATGCAGATCTTTTTGGGAGTTCCCTAAAAAGGTGATTTTTTTTTTATCGTTTTAATGTTTATGTTCTTTATTTAAAAAAAATTGTATTGTGAAAATTGATCTTGGTATATATTTTAGGTTAGGAGTTGGAATGACTGTCAGAAACACATCTCTCATATTTAGTATTAAATGAATGGTGAAAGGCCATTCCGATTCACGAAATTTCGTTTGAAGCGTTTTTCTGTAGAACGTATCCCTTTCGTAAATCGAGAGATACCCGTATGTATATGATCCTCGAGTGAGTACAGAACTACATGTCTCTGGTGGAAAATAAACAATACAAGTTTCTTGTGCATCCCCCACGGCCCCCCAAATGTGATTCTTGACTTGAGATGTCAGTAATGGTAATAACAGAACCATGCATGTTGACACAAGCAGCAAACTCGGTTAGACACACCGTAAGCTCGCAACGCAACGGCACACCACCCGATCAATGCTTTTATTTGGTTTTAAGTACTGTTACTATTCACATAAGGGAAAACACAACAGTCCTTAAACCTGCAAATTGTGAATATTAAAAGTCTAACCAGACCAAACCTAGGTAAACAAAAAAAATCAACAATCAGCCATATAGCAAAGATATATAGACATATACATCAATGTAGAACAAATGAAGTCCAGTGGTCAAGATGCTCATCGTAGGACAAGTAAAATCTTAATTACGTAGCTCTTTGTCTCCACACTGTAGCACTTATGGGTGTTGTTTGGCCATACTTCACCACGCTGGTCAGTGTGGGTTGGTGAAGGGGTGGCGGCCCATTACCACTGATGTTAGCCATATCCGGGAATCTAACTTTGGAATCAGGTCTATAGGTGCAGTATACACCAATTTGCTACCATCGACCCCTTTCCTTTACCATCTTAATTCCTCTATAATCTAGGATCAAATTGGTTTCTAGTTAGTTTTACTGTACAACCTATATCGCATCAATCTCCACTCAATAGTCCCCATTTCTATTATCTTTTTGCTTTTATGTCAAAAGTTACAGAGCACACTTGACGTGAACACCGTTCAAAGCTAACTCGATGACAGCCACGATCCTCGTGTCTGTTATCGAGCTACCTGTCTGTCCCGTAGCCTCATGTTGAACTGCAATCGGTCTCGGTGTCACCTAAAAAACACTGTCGTCGACAACTGTTTGAGGACGGTAGGGAGGGGAGAACCACATTCACTACCATCCCTTTCTAGCAGGGTGTATTGTTCTTGGGAGAATGGGGGAGATTTCGAATGAGACAGAAACCGATTAGACTTTTTAAACTATTTGCATTTTTGGGTTTTTCCCCTTTTTCCTGGCAACAAAACTTAAACCTTTTTACAAGGATTCATGTCTGCATTAACCACAATACCTGCAGTCAAAATGCAAACAAAAAACACACTATAATATATGCATTGTCCTTGAAACTGATTGGTCCACACTGATTGGTCCACAAATAAAGCCGTCCCTTGGTGTGGACCAATCAGTTTCAAGGACAATGCATATATTATCATAGTATGTTTTTTGTTTGCATTTTGACTGCAGGTATTGTGGTTAATGCAGATATGGCTCCTTGTAAAAAGGTTTCAGTTTTGTTGCCAGAAAAAAAGGGGAAAATCCCTATTCTTACATTTTGGTACTGGCAAAGGAGGTCTAATGATGATATTTGATTTTACCAAGGCCCACTGAGCTATGTAGCTCTTTTTCAGAAGCATCTTGGCCATAAATGATAGCTCAACGCAGTGGCTTATCATGTGGAAATTTAAAGCAGCCAATTACTATATGTTTGTTAATGTGGGTTGGAAAAAACCGGGTGACCTGGAGCAAAATCCACCCGACCATGGGTAGCACACTCAAAACCCCAAATATCCAGGTGTCAGGGTCGTGATCGAACCAACGACCTGCATATCAAATGAGGGAGATGACATCTATGCATTTGCTCTACATTTTCTGCACCATGCATCAGCTATAACCCTCCAAATAATTGTAGTTTAAAAAAAGGTGAATTATATAGGTAACAAAAAAACTCAACACATGTCAATAACTATGTGGCCTTAAATGTAATAAAAATATAAGAACAGTTTTCGACAATGGCCACAGAAGAATGCCCAATGCCTGAAACGTCACGTATTATGGTTTTCCTTTTAAAGCCACAGAGGTATTATTGACTAATGCGTTAAAGTTTTGCTGTTGCAAGCTGTGCTGGTGTCCCACTGTCAACATAGCAGAATCAGCAGCATCACCAACTAATGAGTTGAAAGTATCGGTAAACTCGTGGATTCGACGATTTAAAAAAAAAAACCAGCACAGACAAAAACAAATTCGTGTCGACAATGGAATCCAACGGCTCCATTCCATCAGGTCGCGAATTCATCGTTGGTGACGACGTGGTGATACTGGGGCCCTGCGGCGCGGTGGCGGTAGACTTTCACCGCGGCCACGCACACGGCTGCGACGGCCAGGGCGGCAGCCAGGGCGTACACCATGCCCGCCAGCGAGCTCAGCACCCCAGAAGCTGAGGTTAGATGAGAGGGGGCGGAAACGCCAGCGGAAGCACACAAGCCAGCCAGCATAGAGATGTGAGACTCTTCATCATAATTTTAATCATATTTATCCGTTATTTTACGTGTATCAGTAATACCCAAAGGACTGCAATTGCACATCTGTTCACATTTTAGCGCGAGAGAGTACCATGATTGTTATTAGATGGGAATTGTAGTGAGACATTTTATAATTTCAAACCGTATTGTACTAAAACTGCCTTGTACCATAAATTATATCTTAATTTCTCTTAATTAAAAGGGTAATTTCTGCATTAGAAATTCGACGAACAATGGCAATTGCATCATAGTTTTTATCACCATCCCCGACAGCAAGCAGTTCCACGCCTTTCCACTTTAACACGTAGGCTTTCGCGACCAATATCATCCATGATAGAGGGATTTTTTGGGTTATGTCGTGTTAGATCGCAAAAAAAAAACCTTTCCACTTGTTTCGTGGACACGGTTTTCAAGTGAATAATACTTCCCATGGCACATTAGCAAGGCCATCTATATGGGATTTTGGGGCCTGGGCAAAATCTCAGTGTGGGCCCCCCAATGCCTTCCAACTAACTCGGTAGGATTATTGACACCGTGACATGGAAACGCGGGGCCCCCCAAAGCATGGGCCCCGGGACAGTCGCCCAAATTCACCGTACCCTAGGGATGGCTCTGCATACGAGTGCAGCGTCATATTGGCAGAGGGCGGCATTGTATTGATGATTCGTTTGGTAAGTAAGGAGGATACTCACCCTGGCGCATCTTGTGGAACCGTAGGGGGCCCTGGGAGAGGCCCACGTTGTGCTCGGCGTACTTTTTCTGGCTGGAGAGGTCGCGCACGGACCGTTTGGAGCGCACACACCCTCGATGGCACCGCGAGTACCGGTTGGAAGAGTCACAAACGCGTACGGAGCACTCCAGGTACACCTACGAAGGATGTAGGTGACCAGCCACGAGATGTTTCAAAGCATGTTACCATTAGAATGTAAGTAAAAATAACGATGATTTGGTTTACCTGGAAATTAACGACGGGATATGACTGAAGAACTGCAAAGTTGGGCTCATGATGGTTCAAAGAAAAACACAAAGTCAGGTTGAGCAGGTTCGCTGAATGAAGATAAACATTTACGTTGCAGGGACCCACAACTGGAACACGGCAGGATACGTACACCCTGGCCAATTGTTTGATGAAAATAAACAGGTGGACGAGAGCGAGATGGGGTGATTTTGGAGTCGTAATTATAAGTGTGGTACCATCATGTCTAAGATGTAGTTACATTTGTCAGAGTTTAAAACTGAGTCCAGGTTGATGTGCTACACTGCCCCCTGCGGACAAGCACTGTTCCCGTGGAGAAATGTTGAACCTGGGGCAAGAAGCAGAAGAATGTTGACTTAAAGCTTTCGTGAATGCAAGAATTCGTTATTTTTTTGTTATTTTCTTTGAACCTATCTACGTGACTTTACCGAAAGACCCAAAGAATAAGCAGAGGAATCCCACGTCAAGGGTGCTGTTCATTGTTCATGGAGGGGTCACAGTCGATAATTCTCTGCCCCTGTCCAAAAGATGAGAGGGAACAGGGGGTGGCAAACCCCCTCCCTCCTTGCCCCCCCTACATTTTTCTGTTTCCATGGGGATGCACACCTGAGAGCCGGCAAAGAACTCAACGCTCTGGAAGCTGAAGTGCTGTCTCTTGTTATCACCGCTGTAGTAGTTGTTGTAGGATGGATCCTCTTGACATCTGCAGTTGGTAGATTCACAATGTAAGTTAACGACAAAGCTCCCCCGTATAACCTTAATAGACTGTTGGGGCAAGTGCTGTTCGTGAGCACATATGAAGGCTGGCACGGCACACATAGGTGTGGGTGGACAGTACCACGCCTGGCCGCTTTTGTTTCCCTCTAGTGGCGAAGCTTACACACCGCACTACTTATTCATTTGAAGCCGAGTCGACCTAGAGGAGGCATAGGATCGGTTAAGATATCGTCACTGGTGTTGGCCGTGAGCTGAAATCGATCTCGGGTCGCCGGGTTCATAGCGCAGTTCACTAACCGCCACAATACCGCTCCCCGTGTAAATCACATACACGCGCATGCACAAAAATGCAGGTTCGTAATCTCATACTCCGAGGTCAAGGAATAATTTGATGGAATCCACTCTAACCTGGAGTGGCATTGCTCTCCTTCAAAGCACACAAGTGGAGAAGTCAAAAGGCAAAGCCAGTGCACCGGAACAACAACACACTCAGGGAGGCTCCTAAAAGAGGCAGCCAGCCCGTCAAGACGACGAGCCACCGACGCTTGCACTTTGCTGTTCTATGGGCCAAATGTGTGTGACTTGTGTGGGAATGATCGGCTCTTGCAAAAAATCCGGGTATTTGTGAAAAATAGGGCCATGAATTCATCGCATTCCTCCAAACTAAGTAAAGATTCTGATCCTTGATTTTAAAGCCAAGTGCCAAACGGCAGCTGCTGATAATCACCGGATGCCTAACACCAACAAATGTGGCCAGACTCTGCACACTAGTTGAAATTGCCCCGCCGGATATCAGGAGGATGGTCACAAGCAATTGCTACATGGCCACACCTCCAGCTGTACGCCGCCTGAAAGTGCAGAAATGGTTCCTAACCGTAGCTGAACCGCAAAAAAGCACACCTATGGCTACACGAATAGGAATATAGCGTGCAGACACGGCTCGACACAAGAGGCAAGGGCGAGTCACGGCACACATTGACACTGCCCAACGCCTCACAGAGAGAGATTGGTCGACCTAGAAATGTGTGAATTTCCCCTTCGCACGCGAGTGAGAAAGTCACAAGGTCATGATGCAGATGTGGGGCTACTCTAATAACACTGACACGTTTGACCGCAGTGAAACACGGGCCATGGAGTGTCTAGTCGAAATACAGATTCTGATAAAGACTCTAAAGATTATATCTATTGCTCTGGCGGTTCCTGGATGAGCCGTGCACAGTGGAGAGGGCCTTGCTCGATTTACAGACTGAGCCATATCATGTGCCATGGTCTATCCACTGCTGAAGATATCACCATCACTATTATGTTCCCATTACTGGATAAACCTATGACTGTGGAGGCAAGACACGAGAAAAAGAATAAAAAACATAAAATGTATGGGTCCTTCAGGTTGAGTCGATATGCAACCAATATTTGAACTCGTGATTGTGAACCGAATGAATTATCACAAGAGTGCCATCCATTCTGATCAACAGAGGTGACAAATGCGTGTTCGCGGCCTGCAGATGGATTCCATCTTAAAAGTAAACAAATGAAGCACAGCTTGGGTTTGCCGCATGTACCCGTTTCTAATGATGAAGTAGGAGTTGCTGTCGTTCGCGCCTATGTAGGGGGAAGCCTTGCACGTCTCTAGGAAGAGCTGCAGGTTGCTGATGAAGGAGACGAGCAGCACCTTGTGAACAGAACAATCGATGCGGGGTGAGATCGGATATAATTTATATGTTTTTATTATTGTTATGTTTTTATTACAAAAAACTCGAGCCTGACATCCCACGCCGAAAAATTCCGGTAACAGGGTACCGAAAATTCGTGATCATCCATTCCGGCACGACGGAACAACACGACAAATGTAGAAAAGGGAAATAGCGGTCCGCAAATTCCATTTTCATTAAAAGTTGAATTTATACAAGAGACTTAGCCGAATAATATTAATGAAAAAACCTTGCCAAATGGATTCAAGGTTTATCCAAAATAAGGTGAAAAAGCCCCCCAGTGATAAAGAGTAAAGCCGTTGCGGCCAAGTCATGATGTCATACAACATCACATTTCACCAACCATATGATGTAATCTTGCTTTGCACCTCGGTATCTAACGTATACTAATTATAGTAATAATGCTAATTCCTTTGTCAATCCCGAAGTAAATTGATACATAAATGTGGGGTTTTTTTTATAACGAACGATTTGGCAATTTTGGTCTAATTTTATTCAACGTTCGTGTCTTTGACACCATTGTAAGCAGTGCTCAGATGGTACGGCTCATGCTTGACCACGTGTGATGTAGGAATACATCCAGAAAAAAGAGGTCCCGAGTGAGACATACATCTGATAAATAGTCAGGCCGACTTCCTACAGATTGCATTGATGACGGTCTTTGGTAGACGGCTATCCTAGCCAGTTTACATTTCTCACTCTAGTCTGAAAACCCCTCCATGGTCTTGCCCCACCTTATCCCGCTTATCTTGTCTCTTACTCTGTCCCATCCCGTCCTCTACGCTCCCAGTCTCGGCTGTCTCTCTCTGATACGCCCCTAAATGGGTCCCTTGTGCCAGCAAGAAGGCTCCTCGTGATAACGTTTGAGGAGGAATCGCCGTGTGACAGCAATGAACTCATCCTACCCACCTCCGTGTAGATGCGGCTCCCGAGATCCACCTCCAGTGGGTATGAGTAGACGGGCTGCGAGAAGCTCTCGTCCATGTACAGCTGGATGCTCAATTCGAAATTGCCTGAGCTGTACCTGTCGTGCACCCTGTAGCGATCGATAGGAACCACAACTTCGCGGTGAGCTTGTTTAAAAGTGTTAAAAGAGCACAATCATTACCACCAGAAAGACATTGGCTGACATTCGAGGAATACCACCACATTGCAGTGAGTACAGTCACCTACTATCTAGGCCGTGTGATAGTTGGATTCCAGGAGAGATTGGAAATTGTTGACGCCAACGCTGCTGCCATTTACCTGGGTGCAAAGCTCGCTATGACGCTGCCCGCAGAGCCGATTTGACAGTGCAAGGGGATGCGCAGTTTCTTGGCCTTGGTACCGGGCACATAGCCGTACACAGTGTTCGTGTAGACGATGGTGTTGCCCTGCACCTGGGTAGAGGAAGAGGGAGCAAGAGAGATATTGAGTGTTGATAGAGCCCTAGGCTTTCGGATGTTAGGTTTGAACAATCTCAGATGTGCGTGTTGTGTGTGTGTGTGTGTGCGGTGGGACGTCTCCAGTCTCGGGTCCCGGACGAATACCTCGACCCTGGTGCCACAGGCATGCAGATCGCTGTGCAGGACCAGGTACTGCCCTGAGATGTAGCCACGGCACGAGGGGTCCTCGAGGTGAATGGAGTATGGGGAGAGGTGTAGTGAGTTGAGCATGCTCAGAGAGATCAGCAGCTCCAGGTGCTGCGACGTGCAGTTGAATTGCTCCAACTCTGCTTGCGAGAGTGAATATGCCGCTTTGTTAACGAGGAGCGGAAGATGGCGGCCTTGACACGCAGGCCCCACTCCGTGAAGCGAGACATCACCACGAATCCCATCGTCAATGCCGGCGACCGCACATCGATCTACGGTCTCCATGCCTGACCCTTCAGAGCGCCGACAATTCAAGCCACCATAAATGGCGCTACAGGGCCAAGAAATACCCTCTCAGATAGGTGCCCCAAACACGGGAAATTGAGAGGGATCTCGCGAACGTTGTAAAGACGTTTAACATCGACGTCCTCACATCTCCGAGAAATCCACAGGTTAGAGTGACCAATGGAACCAGCCGCTACTCATATCCATGGATACAACCTCACGACTACCGTGAAATATGGCCTGGCCCCATATACGTCTGATTATTATGGTACTTTATTTGTAACAATAATTACGATCACTCGTTTGTCTGTCCAGCCCTTAACAGATGCCTTGGTGGAGGTTGTTCAACTTTAACCAAAACGCTCAAGAACTGTAAATGTGAACGTTTTATATTGCGTGTTTTTACAATTAACTTACATACTTAAAATTTAAGGATATGATACGAACAGAATGATTAGTGATCATATTTTATTTCAATTAATTACAAATTAAATTTGTAATGTATCACACAGTATTGGCTGAATCCCAAAGAGAGGGAACGACTCCGAGTCACAAGGAAGAACCACAGATGGTGGTAGTGGTGGCTATACCCGTGGTCTGTGATCCAGCACTGTGGAGGCAACGTGGGTTGGTGGATCGAAAAAATATCAAAAGGTTGCGAGAATCCCTTCCCGTGGGTATCGAGGTGCAATACCCTGGACTAATATAATCTTTCCCTTCTGTATGGGATAGTGTTGCCGCCTCCCATGCCTAGGCTTCCTCCCATAAATAATCACTATAAATACTCACTAAGTGCCTAAAAAGGTCTTAATACGTATAGAACAGCAGATCAATTGTTGGCACCGGCTCACCACCTGGCAGCCTTCCAGCTTGGTCTGTGGTTCCTCCGTGATTGTCAGATGCAATTCGCAACAACGTCGCTAGAAATGTGTTTATCATTATTAGCGACCATCAATGCCGGGTGGGTGATCAGCATCATGCCCGGCCACCTTTAACTCCCCAGATTTGAGGCTGAGTCGACCTAGGGGAGGCGCAGGACCAGTTGAGTTATTCGTCACTGGTGTTGGTGGTCGTGAGTGGGAATCGAACTTGAGTCGCCGGGATTTCCGTAGATCACTGTGATAACTACTACACTACCACTCCCCACAGGGCACACAAACACACGTTGTGACGACGTACCTTCCGAGCAGATGACAGAGGCATCCTCCTGATGGACACAGTTGTGCCTCCCCCAGGGAAGATGCTGACAGGAGGAGAGCTGATGCTCGTAGCCAGAGCACTGGACATCGTCGAGCCAGATCGGACCATTGCCCGGTCCGAAGTGAGCAAAGGACAACGCAGCAACAGCGTAGCCACAGCCCAGCTGGCGACACACGACCTGGGCGTGCTGCAGATTCCAGATGTCATCACACACCGTGCCCCACGTGCCGCGGTGGAACACCTCCACCCGGCCCTGACACGAGGAGCCACCCCCAGCCAGCCGTATGGGCGCATCTGGTTAAAGTAAAAACCATACAATTAGATATGATAATGGCGATGATGATTTTTTGCAAAACCGTTAAGACGCACAACTTTTCCCTCCAAATACACTACTTGATGTGACGAATTGTCACAGTTCGGGGTAGCGATTCTATGTGATGATTTGATCATGTTTGCATTGTGACGAATGCAGTGAACTCGTGGCTGCAGCGGTCACTGCAACAAATTACGTTCGTGTACGGTACACAAATATAATATGCATGCGGTGAGAATTTAATAATCGATTAATCGTCACGTGATGTAAAAAAAGAGATACAGTACATACTCTTTGGTTCTTTCGGAAAAGTCACGTAGGTATAAAATAAAATAAATTTAATCACGACGTTTCGGGCGCAACACAAGCGTCCGTCATCAGGTGGGACAACCACAGCAAGAAACAATTGCTGAAGTGGGCAAAAGGGCTGCTGTGACAAGAGGCTGTATAGGTAAGAAATCTAGATAGATATAGTACAGTCTGTTCTATAACGCGGTAGTTGCGTTCCTGAAGAACACCGCGTGATGGAAAAATCACGTTATAATCTATAATGTAGGAGAAAGAACGGTCCACGATAATGTGTGAATTGCGTATGCAGGCTGAACAAAGACTGAGATGCGTGGGTAGCATCTAGAAGCATACAGCAGCATCCCGCCTTGCGTGATGCTAAACCGAGGCAGCTGTACAGCCGCTTATTCCTACTCCCGTGACATAGTTCCATTCACTCGATCGCGTTATATCTAATTCACATCCGTATTATGAAAAATGTGTTCTCTAACACATTAATCGCGTTATATACAATTCACGTTATGAAAACTACACATTATAGGAGAATAGACTGTACTGTGACAGGATGACAACGCAAAAGACAATGGAAACTAGGCAAGGTGCAGAGAGAGCTGTGTTCGAAGGATGATGGCCTTTACAGGCAATCGTGATGAGGCATGCGAGTGTGAAACTATTTACCAAAACGTCCGGTATAAATCCATGGACTGGTTGTTGGCATTGAATCTGGAAGGAAATACAACAATATGATTATTAAGAGTGCAAGTGTAATTCTATAATTGTAATAATATTGTTAAAGCAGCCACCGTAATCAATAAGAGCTCAGATCTCGAGGGGATGCGCTTCCTGATCGGGGTCCTTGAGCAGCAGGTGTCATGACTTCATCGGAACAGCCGTGCAGGTGAATTGGGATCCATGATTTGGCACAGTGGAGACTACAGGTGGTGCATCTGTCAGTTACCTCAGTCAGTCAACCCATCGCACTTGGGTCGGTCCCGTGACCTCCTACAAGCAGCGAGCCTTCCCCACTTTCACATGATAGCCTCAAGGTGCACCTAGCTTGGCACAAGTGCCGTGGTGATGTCACCGGTGGTTGCTGTTGATGATTGGAGGTGATTGCATCTTGATTGGTTGTAATTTACGGCGTTAAAAAGTGGAACAAGGTGAAGCTATTTAATTGGTGCTAAATATAGGATGTCCTTAATTATATCAAAGAGCACTGTGTTGGTTATAATTTACATTAGATATGATCAAGCTGATTCGTTTATAAAATCACGTAAAAATACGCGACGAGGAATAATTTGTCTCAGTTGTTTTACGTGCAAAGCTGTGATTGTTGTTTACTATATCAGTCAGGTTAATTAAATATACATGTTGATTAAATAACAGATTACTCTAACATAATGGGCTACAGTGATTTAATACAACCTCAAGATGCCACCGACTCCGCTATCTCCGGTGAGTACTCTGTATTAACTTTATTATATTTAAACTTGTTATATACCTATAGCAATGTAATAACGATTTCGCCGAAAAGCACAATTGATCGACACATTCGTCAAGGTGACAACGTGATTTGTCTGGCAGTGTTGGGTGGTGGAGGATGGTACATAGCTCGAATGGACATTATCCCCTCACCACCATATGACCCACAAATTAATTATTAATCATATCGGTAATTAAAATTTTACTCGTGGAATTAACATCAAAGTACAATACATCACATTCGGATCAGCACTCCAAACCATCCAATAAATGAAGATTATTGTTAATGAGTTTTCATGTAAATTAATGGTATATATAACTCAGGACAGACAGTTTAAATTTGGCAAACCACTAAATAGTTAATATGGACAATAAACAGTCCATGTGCATAACTTGTAAAATCTAAAACCTACATTTTGTCATATTCGTGGTTCTTTAAGTAAATTCACGTAGAAAGGAAACAATAAAATAATAAAACATATATAAAAAATACAATTCTCACGACGTTTCGACTGCAACACAAGCAATCATCATCAGGTGTGAAACCCACAGCAATAAAATTTGAAAAAAAGTGGCGTTTATTTGAACGTTAGCACCACGGAGAGCGATTTGGCAGTTATTCAGATGGACGAGTCCATCTATGTTCGGAAAAGAGAAGGGGGGAGACGAAAATGATGGATGCGGTCTGAAAGCCACCGTAAACATGAACAATCAATTAAGACCCGAAATGGTTTATCAAATTCTTCCAATGATTGCTAAGCCAGAATCCATCTTTTCAGTTGAAATTGTCTCTGTGTTTGTATATGTGGATAGCCTCATGAACGAATCTCTCATGGTAGCCAGATGGCTTACAAAGAACCGCTGTCTTGGAGAAGTCAATGTCATGTGAGCCTACTGAATTATAACAGTGATCTGCCACGGCCGAGGTGTTGGTCCTACCGTGTTTTAGGTCTGCTTTGTGTTCACGAATGCGTCATATCAAACCAACAAAATCATTTCTGATTCAACCGCATTAATTTATCAAACCAAACAGTTCTCGTAGAAACCTTCTGCTGCCAGGCCACCAAGATTATACGGCATACCAAAAATACATCAAGTAGATACACCCCTTCGTCCCATCGTCTCCACTATCAACTCTCCCACCTACAAACTGGCTCGTTTTCTGTCTAAAATCCTGCGGCCTTTCACTGGAAAATCCACCTCTGCGGTATAAAATTCTACTCATCTGGTATCGATAATCACGGGTATTTCCCTGTCCCCAGACGACCTGCTTGTCAGTTTTGATGTAGTTTACTTATTCACCAAAGTTCCTGTACCTGACACCATCACAATCATTGAAGACTTGGTTCATCAAGGACTAAACACTGAGGTACCCCCCCTGGTGAGACACTGCTTAACCAAAATATACTTCACTTGGAATGGAACTTTCTACAAACAAACTGAAGGCACCCCAATGGGCTCCCCCCTATTGCCGGTTGAAGCCAACATTTTCATGGAGAAATTTGAGACTGACGCCATCCAGACTGCCAATATGTGCCCAACCTTATGGAAGAGGTACGTGGATGACACTTTTGTCATCTGGCTACATGGCCGGCCTGCTCGAGACCAATTCCTCGACCACATCAATTCTATACACCCAGCCATCAGATTTACCATGGAAGTCGAAAAAGATGGCAAGCTCCCTTTTTTGGATGTCCTTATAAAAAAAGAGACCTGATGGTTCAATGAGCCACTCTGTCTATAGGAAAGCTACCCATACGGATGCTTACCTGAAACCGGATTCCCACCACCATCCATCCCAGAATAATTCCCTCATCAAGACTCTGCACCATAGAGCCCAATGCACATCCGACCAGGAACACTTAGGCAGTGAACTCAAGCACGTACACCAAGCTCTTAAGGCTAATGGTTACTCTGACTACACAATCCGCAAATATATCACTCCAACCATGAAGAAGGACCCTCTTGAGGAGCCTTTCAAAACCATCACTTTACCCAACATTGCGGGGATCACAAAAAATATCTCCAAAATCTTGAATAAACACAAGATCCAGATCCAATTAAACAATTACATAAAATCTGTGATCTGGTTCCGTCTGTACAAGATGTGATTCCGGACATACAGTACCCTGGCGTCTACAAACTATGTTGCTTCTGTGGTATTAGTTACATTGGAGAAACCAAACGACATGTCTCGGACCGCATTCATGAACACAAAGCAGACCTAAAACACGGTAGGACCAACACCTCGGCCGTGGCAGATCACTGTTATAATTCAGTAGGCTCACATGACATTGACTCCTCCAAGACAGAGGTTCTTTGCAAGCCATCTGGCTACCATGAGAGATTCGTTCATGAGGCTATCCAAATATACAAACACAGAGGCAATTTCAACCGAGAAGATGGATTCTGGCTTAGCAATAATTGGAAGGATTTGATAAACCATTTCGGGTCTTAATTGATTGTTCATGCTTACGGTGGCTTTCAGACCGCATCCATTATTTTCGTCTCCCCCTTCCTCTTTTCCGAACATAGATGGACTCGTCCATCTGAATAATTGCCAAATCGCTCTCCGTGGTGCTAACGTGAAAAAACGCCACTTTTTTCAAATTTTCTTGCTGTGGGTTTCACACCTGATGATGATTGCTTGTGTTGCAGTCGAAACGTCGTGATAATTTTATTGTTTTATATTTTTATTATTTTATTGTTTCCCTTCTACGTGACTTTACCGAAAGAACCAAGAATATGAATCCCTGCAGTCATGAAAGCATTAAATAAAAATCTTTTGTCCTTTGGTATCAAATATTACGGTGCCGAGATGTATTGTTTAATTTTTCAAAGGGCATGGTTAGCATACGCTTATAAGTTGCTTCAAGTCTCGTATACTGCATAATAAATAATATATTATAACAATACTACAACATAATTCAGAAGTCACCAAAACACGTGCGATTGTATTGCCTAGTTTGCTTTGTTCCTACAATAACAATAAAGAACACAGTCAATTTCTCAGAAAATGTCCTGCTAAAATCCAGACAGGTGGTAAGCCGACAGTGTCGTTCCGACAAGGGTTCTTTTCTGGATATGCACAGGTGAGTCCAGCCCACTCAGGGCTGTAGATGCAATAGACTGTACTGTAACAGGATGGCAACGCAAATGGAAACGTCATCGCTAGGCAAGGTGCAGTGAGAGCTGTGTTCGAAGGATGATGGCCTTCACTGGCAATCGTGATGAGGCAAGCGAGTTTGAAACTATTTACCAAAACGTCCGGTATAAATCCATGGACTGGTTGTTGGCATTGAATCTGGAAAGAAATACAACAATATGATTATTAAGAGTGCAAGTGTAATTCTATAATAGTAATAATAATATTGTTAAAGAAGCCACGGTAATCAATAAGAGCTCAGATCTCGAGGGGATGCGCTTCCTGATCGGGGTCCTTGAGCAGCAGGTGTCATGACGTCATCGGAACAGCCATGCAGGTGAATTGGGATTCATGATTTGGCATAGTGGAGACTACAGGTGGTGCATCTGTCAGTTACCTCAGTCAGTCAACCCATCGCACTTGGGTCGGTCCCGTGACCTCCTACAAGCAGCGAGCCTTCCCCACTTTCACATGATAGCCTCAAGGTGCACCTAGCTTGGCACAAGTGCCTTGGTGATGTCACCGGTGGTTGCTGTTGATGATTGGAGGTGTTTACATCTTTATTGGTTGTAATTTACGGTGTTAAAAAGTGCAACGAGGTGAAGCTATTTAATTGGTGCTAAATATAGGATGTCCTTAATTATATCGAAGTGCACTAATTAACATTAGATATGATGAAGCTGATTCGTTTATAAAATCACGTAAAAATACGTGAAGAAGAATAATTTGTCTCAGTTGTTTCATGTGCAAAAGTGTGATTGTTGTTTACTATATTCGAGTCAGGTTAATTAAACTCACGTGGATTAAATAATAGATTACTCTAACATAGTGGGCTCCAGTGATTTAATGCAACCTGAAGATGCAATCGACTCCGCCATCTCTGGTGAGTACTCTGTATTAACTTTATTATATTTAAACTTGTTATATACCTACAGAAGTGTAATACTGGTTTCGCCAAAAAGCAACATTTATTGGCACATTCCTCCAGGTGACAACTTGATTTTGTCTGGCAGTGTTGGGTGGTGGAGGATGGTTCATAGCTCTAATGGACATTATCCCCTCACGACCATATGACCCACAAATTAATCATATCGTCATTTAACTCCTACCTGTAGAATTAACATCACAGTACAAAACAACACATTCGGATTAGCACACCGATCCATCCAATACATGAAGACGAGTGTTAATTAGTTATGTAAATTAATGTTATATTTTACTTGGGACAGTTGAAATTTAGTAACACAATAAATAGTTAATATAGACAATACTACGTAGTCCATGTGTATAACTCGTTACATATAAAAACCTATATTGTGACCTTTGGGTATGGTTCGCGTAAGCTCCAAGTTGCTTGTAGTCTCGCATACTGTAAACTAAAAATATATATTACAATACTAAAACAGAATTCAATTCATGAAAGACAAGTGCGATTGTATTGTCTAGTTTGCTTTGTTCCTACAATAACAATAAAGAACATGTCAATGCTCAGAAAATGTCTTGCTAAAATCCGGACAGGTGGTAATCCAACAGTGTAGTTCCAGCAAAGATTCTTACTTGGATATTCACAGGTGGGTCCGGCCCACTCAGGGCTGCAGATGCACTGGTAGAACGGATCGATTGGCAGGTTCACGCAAACTCCCCCATTTTGGCATCCGACCAAATCGCACCAGTAATCTGAAAGCAAACACATTGCAATATTCCGTGCACCCACATTTTACAAATGGCTCAAGCATTCTCTAATGAATAAAACATTTAAAGAAGATGTAATTTTTTTTTATCTGTAGCTCACAAATAGCCAAAAATCAACACCATAGCGATTTTTTGAATATTGATGATGACATTGTGCCGCCCATGTGGCAAACAGAGCAAAGAAGGGCAGCAAGACCTGGACAGATGGACTAAGTGCCTCGGGAGGAGGACATGGTATGATTATGGGATAAGTTGAACAGAGTATCTATGGTATATCTTCTCGATTTAGATATGAAGACCAAGACAAGCAAGAAGTGGTAACATTTGGGTTATAGGACATTTCATGAGAGGATATTGTGTTTTTTTATAGAGAGAGTACTAAGGCAGAAAATGAGAGGCAGGCCAAGATTGAAATGGTGAACCAGAATATGAACATCTGTAGAGTGAGTGTGGAGGTGACCAGAGCAGGAATCAGTAGTGAAACGGGACCGGGAAGGTACACCCAAAATGCGTTCGGGTTCTGGGGGTAATGCCAAAAATAAGTCATGTAATTGTCACCACTGGCTATGGGCCACCAAATGAGAAGAGCATCACCCAATAAACATACTTGTTTGAGCAAGGAGGTACGTGAAAGTTGAGCAGAAAAACTGTTTTATTCCATTCCTTCGTACAGAAGATGCATGTGGAAATCTGTCTGTGGGGTGTCTATGAAGTGACTGGATGAGGGTTGAACTGCGGGTGTCAGCGAGTTCTGAGCGCGTGTGCTCCCTGCTATGTTCTCGGACGAGCAAATTGTGTCTGTGGAGCACAGTCGTAGACACGCATGTGCTTTGCTTTGGCACGACATCACAATCCGCACATTCGCGACATCACCGCGGTGCAACGCTTCTGAGTGAGAGATGACGCTTACCGTAGATTATTAGATTCGTAGCTGCTCCGGAGAACAGTGACCGAAGAGATTAAAAACAGACAAGAACATACCACAATGAACATACCACAATACTTGAAAAAATAATAAGGGTCACTCCAGATGATCACTTATTACCAGGGATCAGTTTCAGGGCAAATTAACTTGTGCATGGTGGGTGCTCAGGTGTCATGCAATTCTGCGTTAGATTGATAAAATACGAATGTTCAACTTATTTTGCACAGTACGTAGCCAACCGTGAATGATGGTTATAATAGTAATAATGCTCAACAGTTTACTCAGGAAAGCCTCAATGAGCCTGAAGAGAAAACAACTTTGCCACGATCCATTGTGCCAGCAACATTTTGTAATTTTACTCTTAATATAAATTATTTAAATTTCATAGTAATACTTTACATTTTTTAAGAATTTGCCTGGAAATCAACAGCTACTATTCGTGCCACTATTTGTATTCCAATTTTTAAAAATGGTTATCAAAAAACGACATTCTAATCACGCCGCATTGTGTTAAGTGCATTGTTAATTGCTTAGTGCGTCACGTGGGACGTATTTAATAATCGGGCGCGTGCAACGAATACATTTTATCTGAATGTGGAGTAAATTGGTGAATGCGAAAAGACTTGTTCAGTTGGTTACATTGCACAATCCCAAATGTTAAGATCAACTACTACACGTGTGTGGCCAAGAAAGAGGCGAGTGAAGAGGAGCTCGCACAGCAACGGTTCACTCGCTAGGTGCACCACGCTCGTACGCCGGCGCTTACAAGTGGCTCTGACAACAGCAGCAGACACAACAGCAACAACAACCCTTGGTGCGAGTGAAAGCGATTACTCACTCGGTGGGGAAGGTGTTAAAGCTGCTCCACGAGACGACGTCAGCAGTTGGGAGAGAGAATCACAAGCGTGACGTTATACAGTGGACATTCATCCCAAAGGCAATCGTTTTTAACGGAGACAAAATGTAACTGGCCGGGGTGGCGATGAAGTCGCTTTGGATGACGCGGCTCCAGGTGCATTCTGCCCTCGCAATTCGGGAAATATTTGAAGCCGGAATGATTGAGTGGACGATGTATTGTTAGATGATTTGATGTGATGTGACCGCCCCGATGCCCAAACATTTCAACAGCAACAAGAGCACGTGGTAATAATTCCCTTAAGTGTGAAGTGTTCTCTTTGATAATTCCCCAAGGAGGATATTTCATACTCGAGATCGACACATATCAAGAAGCTGGAGAGAGTGGCGAGGAACTGCCTTGAGAGTCCGCAGCCATCATCCAGACAGCATCACTCTTATATGAGTTGTCTGTATCTCGGAGTCTGTGGCCACATTCAAAACTCGTCTCGAAACTTAATTTCTACAATTACACATATTCAACTGTCGGCTAATTCGGCAAACAGCTTTTAACATTTATTTCATTATTTATCCGCTTTTCGTGTTACGAGTTGCCATCACACTGTCTGCAGCTTTGTCTTGTACGGCGCTTTGGGTTCCTTGATCGAATGTGTTTTAAAAATAAATTTATTATGATTAATGCTGTCGTTTACAAGCTGCGGGACCACTCAAAATGTGCTCATATGACCTGCAGTTATGAGACGAAAAGAGGGGGCAAAGGTCGCTGATAATTACCCGACCTGGAGACACGGCACGAACCCTGATGGCCAGGATTTCCTAAACTCCATTTCTTGCGGCCCAACTCCACGCCGACTTCTTTCTGCGTTCACCAATTTACCCCTCCACATTCAAATACTAACTCGTTCCACGCTGTACGCGCCAGATAATTGTTAAACACGTCCCACGTGACGCGCTAAGCAATTAAATCTTTGTTAATCGAACCACTTCAAATGAACATTGAGATAGTGTCCATGTGCGTGCACATGTGTCACGTGTCCGTGTGTGTGTGTACACGTGTTTCACATGAACGACACGGCGTTGATTGCTTTGCGCGTGGGACTTATGTAGCGATCATCGGGCGCGTGTAGCGTGTAACGAGTTAATTTGAATCTGAATGGGGAGTAAATTGGAAAACGCGGAAATATGTCGCGTGGAGGTGGGGCCGCGAGGACTGGAGTTGGGGAAACCCTGCGCGTAGCCACTTGGAGTTCAGTTGGTTACATTGCAAAATCCCAAATGTGAAAATCGCTAGCTACACGTGTGTGGCCAAGAAAGAAATGAGTGAAGAGGAGCTCACAGTAACGGTTCACTCGCTAGGTGCACCCTCATGGTGGCTCTGACAACAGTAGCAGACACAACAGCAATAACAACAACAACCCCTCGTGTGAGTGAAAGCGATTACTCACTCGGTGGGGAAGGTGTTGAAGCTGCTCCACGAGACGACGTCAGCAGTTGGGAGAGAGAATCACAAGCGTGACGTTATACAGTGGATATTCATCACTAAGGCCATCGCTGTTAATTGAGACAAAATATCACTGGCCGGCGAATTCTGCCCTCGCGTCTGGAAATAGTTGAAGCAGGAATTGTTGAGTGGATGATGGTCCGGAGAAGATCTGATGTGATGTTGACGCCCAATGCCCAAACCTTTCAACAACAACAGCACGTAGTAATAAATCCCTTAAGTGTGAAGTGTTCTCCTTGATAATCCCCCAAGGACAATAATTTACACTTCACATCGACACATATCGAGGAGCTTGACACGGCGGTGTGGAACTGCCTTCACAGTCCGCTGCCATCATCCACTTGGAAGAATCTGTCGAGGGGTACTTGGGTACGAATTCTCGTTGTGTGCTGAGAATCGAGGGGTAACACACGGAGCCGCTCGACTCGAGGTGCATTGTTTTTTTATGCAACGGGACTAATACGGTGAGCATGCAACTTGAATGTGAAATATTAGACAAATGGTACTCACCAGCTGTAGTGAGACTCGTATCTTTATCACCGAAAGACATTGGAGACGTGACAAACAGAGAAGATTAGACAAACGCACCGTTGTCAATGTCGTATTCATTTAATGGCATTGGTCACAATCGCTCAACAATGCAATCGGCGTTCAGGGGTCGAGAAATTGTAAATTGCTTCTGAATATTAAGATTCTGATCCCATAATCAACTATTAAACCACCTATATTGGCGAAGTCATGTAGACGTCTTCACGTTGACACAATTGTGTAACACTTCACGCTGCTTTAATGTGAAATGTACTATGACTAAACAAATAAGAATACAATATATATAATTAAAAACAACATTCTTACACATCCCATCAGCCGCACGGCCCTTCTGAGAGTACATCATTTCAGCAGCGCCTGTTCAAATGCAAGAAAACTCTGGACCGGTTTTGACATTCGGGCTCGCTTGAATTAAATGCTGGTGAACTGCCTCGAGTCACCCCATCGAATCCAGGGTGATCCGAAGCGACATGACAAGTCATCAAATGGTACCTCACGGTTTATTGTTGTACATAGACACGTGCAGCAATGTCAAATCCGCTACTGGATGCCTGCCGGTCGTGGGGGTTTATTTGGCCATACTTCAGAAAAAAATATATTGTAATTATAGTACTTTACAACATTGGAATTTGCTTTACTGTCCTCTGCTGCCCACAGTGTAGCCTCACAGCCGACAGCCTATAACACCTGTTATGCATGGTGCTCTCACACACGATCACTACAAGCCAGGCTCAACTCAACCTCGCTTTGCTTCCAGGATCTGGACAAGATCGGGGGCATTCCGAAAACGCATGCAAATTCCATATTACATGTTATGTAACAAAAATAAAACCCGTCTAGCCTTTACAGGCTGTTGTGGCAAGTGATGGTAGCGATCCCCTATGAATGCCGACACCGCACACGAGGGGTGGTTTGGCCAGTATCAACACCCCGCCGCCTTTGTCTCCCCAGTGCTGATGTTTATTTTTATGCACAGCACCAGGTAATTCATTTAAGGCTGAGTCGACCGAGGGGAGGAGGTCCAGGACAGGTTCAAATATTCATCACCGATGCCGAGTGGCCGGGTTCGTAGTGCAGTGCGCTAACCACTGCACTACCGCTCGCCAAGGTTATGTATACTGTACACACAAAACAAAGATCCCCGTGTAGCCTTAACAGACTTTTGGGGCAAGTGCTGTAAGCGAGCGCATATGAAGGTCGGCACGGCACACGAGGGGGTTTAATGGTGGCCACCACTACTCCCGGTCGCATTTGTCTCACGAGTGGCGATGTTAAAACATTCCAACAGATGCTCATTTGCGGCTGAGTCGACGTAGGGGAGGCCCAGGGGCTGTTAAAATGATCATCACACAGAGGCTCACACGTACGCTCCTTTACCTGCCACGGCATGGAACATCAGCAGAGAAGCGAGCAGCCATCGTACGACGCAGGAGGTGTCGTACAGCATCATCATTGTTCTGACCACGCTGAGATGTTTCGAACACAGGCGCGTCTCCCCAAGAGGCGAGTGCCGTGATGGCGTGGGTCGCATCCTTTATATGCCCCTCGCCTTTTAAATGTGCCGCTGCGGGCCCCCGAGCATTGTTCTAAATGTTGATCGTTCGGGAGAAATGTAATTGCGTTAAGCAGATACTTCACATTTCACAATGCGTAGGCAACCTTCACAAAGCTTGTTTGGTAGACAACAGTTCATCTTGCCGTGGATACATTTCACGGATTTCACAAATCGCCCGCGGCTATCAGCAGCACTGAATCTGGCTACCAGCCCTGAAAACTCGTCCACGTGACTTCATGCCAACAATAGCAGAAGGTAATCACTCACCCGAGAACAGGGGTCGGCAAACAAAAGAACAAGTAAGGGCTTTTTTCAAAATTCGGTAAAAATAAACCCCTCAATATTTCCAGGGCCACAATGCACGTCGTGAATACGCGACGATGGTCCTTAGGTTGCCGAAGCCTGCCCAAGAGGGACCTCAAGCGACCTCGCCTATGCTGTACATTTGGAGTTTGCGGTGCCTCTCTCCCCGTGGTCGCGTGGATTTTTCTCCAGGTCTTCTGATTTTTGCCTGCACATTTAGAAACATGCGTTTAGAGTATTTGACTGCTATACATTTTCACGTGATAAGTCACTTCGTTGAACTATCATTTGTGGTTTGGTCGCTATATAGCTCAGTGGGCCTGACCTTGTAAGATAAAAAAAAAAATACTTTCGTCTCATAGTTTGAGCTTACCAGTAGTTCTATTAGGAGTGTTTAGGCCTAAGAAATGGACGGGTGGCTCAGAAGTCAGGGTGCAGAGCTGATGACAATTTAGACCCTGGGTTTGAATCCAGCACCGGCAGCTGACTGAATCCACTCAGCTGCCCGTGGTTAAACCAACTTATCAGTTGCAGAGTTGATGGTCTCGGTCCGGTCACCAATGCCTGAACAAACAAACAAACAAACCTCATCACGTTAAATTGAGTTCCGGGCTTAGTTTGTTTGGCTGAAGTCCAGCTATGAGAATTAATCATATCTCGAAGACTGTCCCCGTGACGAACATTACTGTCAGGAGCAGCACGGAAGGAACGTACCGTGTGAGACTGAAGGTCACACTGGAAGGGATCTGAAAGGTAGTTCTGTAATATCTGCTTCCACGAACCATTCTCTATCACGATAATGTCAGAAAACAAAAGTCCAGAACTAAGGCTCTGGACCTCGAGAAGCACCCTGCGTAATCAATGTGCAATGCTGTCGAAGCAGTGGAGGAATGTGTTTACCTGGGATCTGCACAGATACCACTGATGGACGATGTAGACCTGATGCCATGCGCCGGATTGGCCTGGCCTTAGGGATAATTAATGCTCTGAACCGCATTTGGTCCCAGAAACGGTTAAGTCTGGGTACCAAATTGGGAGGCTACCAGTGCTGCGTTTTGTCAGTTTTGTTGCTGTACAGTGCGGAGCGTGGACGTTGCAGTCCTTCCACATGCAGTGCCAAAAACGCCTTCGTCAGAAATGTTAGCATTGCATCTCTAATATGTCTCCGAAGTGATCGAGAGCCTAGTTGGAGGGGACTGCTGTAACTTTGTGGACACGTCGCCAGTCTTGACGCGCAAACTCCCGCAGCAAATTACAGTCACTTCAGTTGGCGGTCGACGTTCAAAGTGAGGACTGCGACCCTCAAAGGGACGCCCCCCCCACCCACCGTGACCCGTGGATCAAACAAATCACTCGAGACGCCGGTGTATGGCAGCGAGAGCAGTTTATGCGCATGCTGTCGCAAGAGGTCACACGTTTGGCGCAACAGTCTTTCGCTGACTCTACGTGATGGTTGAATGAATAAAATAATCTTGCACTGCAGTTTTCGAGACATTTAAATTTAATCTTAGTCTCAGCACAGTTGCCACGAATTTCTGATAAAAGAAAAGAACACCGTCATATTTAGACTTCCCATGGATGCAAAAACCACTTTGAGGCCCTAATGTTTTTTTATATTATCCATTACTACATTCTTTTGTGACATTCTCGTTATATGCATATTCTCCACAACGACCATTATTATTATTGTTATTATTTTGTGATAAGTGTTATGTTGTTTTGGGACCTTGCCTTCGTAGACAGAAGCAGCAACGCTGTAACCTTGAAGAAACTCCGCAGGCACATCTAGACGACAACAGTCCGAAGAATAACGTCCAGTAAGGCTGTGTAGACGATTCAGTTATCATCAGCAGCCATGGTCAATCCACTGCTGTATGAAGCCCCCCCCCCCAGCCGCCACCACCACTCATGATCCACCACCTTGGGATGCCGCGGTGGTGAGATGTTAACTCCTTCGACTGGTATGGAGGAGGTCGTGGGTTCGTTCCCGATCCTGACGCCTATTGCTGTATATTTGGAGTTTGCCTGTTATCCCCGTGGTCACGTCGATTTTTCCCTGGGTCCTCCGTTTTTTTCCTCTGTATTTATAAACATGCTTTTAGATTATTTCGCTGCTATAAATTTTTCACGTGATAAGCCACTTCGTTGAGCTAGCATTCGTGGTCAGGTCTCTTCTGAAAAAAAGCTATATAGCTCAGTGAGCCTTACCTGGTAAACATTTTAGTGATCCTGCCTGGCCACCCTGCGACATGAACTAATTTGAGATGCCTTTAATTTACTTCAGGATTGGAATGCGCTAATGTTTATACTTTAATTGCGTATCCTGTGTCTGTATCCGGATGTATTTTGGCTATCGGCGTCAATGTCGATCGTTCACCGTTTTTTCGCCCTGTGAACTAAAATCGCACAGTTTGAACGCTAGCTCACTGCAAACATAAGTCCCGGCAATGGTGGGCACTGCACCGTCTTTGCCGGGGGTGAACAATGGGTGCCACGTGATGGGTGAAATCGCGGTAG